TACTAACCATATTTATTATTCGGCCTAAGGTTACATAAAGGATATTGCTAGTTGATAAATTAATATGCAAGAAACTGCTTCCAAAAATCCGCTGATATGAGGAAAAGAAAAGGGAGAGAGAAAGAGTTAAAAAAGGTATAATTTAACTGAGTTTCGGCTGTTTTTTGGGCCAAAAATTGCATGTTTTTATATATTTAAAATTCAATGTTTATGCATGAGATTCCGGGCTTTAAAAATACTCCAAATGATTTTTTTTAAATGATCTGTTCTGGCATCTTGACATTAAGAATTCGGAACTCGTTATCAAGTCTCACTTGTTTTTATATAATCTGTTTCAAAAATTTACCATCCCATACAAAAGCTGCCCAATAAAAGAAGAATCTGGGTACAATGTGGATTATGCTAAAGCAAAAATAACTTATATAACATATACTACAATTAATTAAGGTTTTTATTTGAAATAAAAAAGTCAATGGCACGAGCGGGATTCGAACCCACGATCTTCGGCTTGATAGCCGCGTCGAGAATCCAATCCGATTACACGACATTTGAAAAATGGCAAAAAGGAGGGAAACTAAAAAAGTGGGGGTGAGATGGGAAGTTAGTGTACGAGTGGATCGAAGGCACAATAGCTCAAGTGGTAGAGCAGCGGCGTATCAAGCCTCAAGCCGAAGATCGTGGGTTCGAATCCCGCTCGAGCCTTTGACTTTTTTATCTCAACTAAAAACCTTAATTAATTGTAATATATTAATTGGTCAAGCGGACCACGAAATTAGTGAAATTAACATATACTTTACTCCAAATCTTTTCGTCGTTCACGAAACGATTCATTTTATTTTTATTTTGCATAGAAAATAATAGCCACACAATAGTAAATAATAATATTAAAAACAAACTAAGACCTAAAGAAAAATTATGTTTTGTATCAAATAATGTCTACGGTTTTGTCACAAATTGAGGTTATAGGCAAAACTTAAAAATCCACTTCATTTAGAAATTTCTACCTACAGATTTTCACTATACAATAACAAAATCAAAGATTCGCTGTAATAAACGAATTATTGTTTGAAAATCTGGTATCGAAATACGACAACGTTCTGACCTTCCTTGAATTTTCCATATTATATTGAATACGACAGAATTGTAGAATTTGATGTTCAAAAAAAAGTATGGACTCTCCTGAAAAATAAACGTGTATCAAAATTAAAAATTAGTTGATTAAGTAAAAAAGAAAAAAATCTGTTGCCTGAAAAAAACGCTAACATCTTAATCATTTATTAGATAACATGTGTATTATTTATTTTATATATCTTTGTATATGAGACATGTGAATTTTGCTAATTTTTATTTCATATTGATAAATATGAAAGTCACAATTTATAATTATTTAGAAATCGAGAGATGCGGTCTGGTGTGATGTAGGTTTCAGAAAAACGTTTTCTTTATCGTGCCAACGTTTCGATCTTTATTGAGATCATCTTCAGGGCCTGGGAAACGTAAAGATCGAACTGTTGGCACGATAAAGAAAATGTTTTTCTGAAACCTACATCACACCAGACCGCATCTCACGATTTCTAAATAATTATCGATTAACGGTCACTAATCACCACACATTTCTACACGAGTCACAATTTATTTTAAAATTTGAAAAATTAATTAAGACAGTATGGACAAAAGTACAGAGCTGTGACTAGGTTAAATATATTTTTGTCTATAAAAATCAGCCATAATGCACATGTTAAAGACAAAAAAATTGCTCAATTCAATTCAATTTCAATTCTTTAGTCAGACTTTCGAGGAATATATCAAAAATATTCAAACTATCCATAATGATGTAACTATCCATGTAAAAATTATTCGGTTATGGGCGAAGAGCAAAATACGGCGTTCCGTCTAGGCTAAACCTACAATAACGTTCGGTCTTGCCGAATGGTATATTTATAAATTTGTCAATATTAATCAGTTATTTTAATTTCGTTTTAAATATATATTCGGAGTATTCTGTAAGATAGTAAGAACGCAATTTAAAAATATTTTACGAAGGGAATGACGAAACAGCGGAACCAGGCGGTCCTCATTTGTTTGAAAATAGTTTTATCTTTGATATCCACTTATTTTGAATGTTCTGAAACAACGAATAGCCGTAGAGATAATTTTTTTTCTTAATTTTATAAGTAATCATTTTAATCCTTAATGATGACTTTCTTTTACATCGTAATCGATACGTTTATCTAGAGTTCAGCCTGGTAGAAACTTCCACAGAAATTGAATTAACAAATAGACAAAAAATAAACTAAATTAAAAGGACTCCATTAGGTGATGAAAACAATCAGGATGGGCTTTTCCGTTCGGAAATAGCTTTAATTTCCTGGCTGAAAATGTTACCCGATATCTTCTCCACTCCTACATCCAGCTGGGGTTTTCTGAGAATAAAACACAAAACATTGATTTGGAGAAAATAAAGCAAACATAAACAGCATTTTATGGCATTATCATATAA